CTAAAACTTCATTTGATGAGATTATTTATAAAAACTTGAAATAGAACATCCTATAAATAGAAATGTTGTTTTATATAGTCACCTTAAACTGAGACTAATTTTGGGCTGATAGGACGAATAAAACTGTTTACACAAAATTAATTTCGGGTTAATGTTTGCTATGTACCACGTATTTACTTAGGTTCGGGTCAGGTTTGCCCTTTAAAACATAATAGAGAGGTAATTCAAACTCTCAGACATTACTGCTGGTATCTAAATATGCATACACTGTTATCGATAAAAATTGTACTAGCATTTATTACACTTCAATTATTGTATCTGATAAGTAGCAATAGAACATTAAGAACCGAATATAAAAAACGTAATCGGCGATAATCTCTTTCGTGATTACTTTTTTGACTGTCATGTTGGTAGTGGAGAAATTCAGATAACGCTTACGTGCTTTGGCCTAGTGTCTAGTATCTAGCGTAAGGCAAACGGCGCGGCGCTTGGAAGTCTTGACACGATCAGTTAATGGGTATTCCACTTATTAATCAAAGCGATCGTGTTGTCCGCAATGGTAAACCAACCGTACATTTCAATTTCCGCTCATAAAGTACGTTTGCTGCCCTTCAGTGCCTTGTTTTTGAACTAGCGCTGATGGAAATCTCTTTGGTTTTAAATTTAATAATGTAGTCGCTGATAACGAGAATAAAAGTTTTGCATCACACAAATCTAGACGAGTATCCGAAAAAGGTCAGTACAGTTATCGAAGAAAACTAAATTTTGAAGAAATATTCAGTGGATGAACCTATAAAAACAGTTGACTACTTGTCCATCACACTTTTTCATCACAATTTAAGTTTAAAAAAATTAAAATAGATATTTTTAGCAAAGGCAGCTTAGGTATCAGATAGAGACAATGAATTTTCAGATCTTGTAGGGTTCTTTGCAAGGTCCTAACTTTGTTTCTTCTGATTATCAGATCTTTGAATCATTTTTGACGGATACTTTGAGAAGCTAAAGTGTTAAAATCGAATCACTAAATGTTTCCTAAATTGGATAAGTTTATTTGATTCTCTATTGTATTTAAAAAAAGAAATAGCGTCCTACGTTTTATTGTAACTTGCAAATAAAGAATGGACTAACAATAAGATATATTTGGCCCAATGATCTAATTTTGGTAGCATTTGTGCTCCTTCGTTTGTTGCGATATGATTGTGTTAATACAAAACCAAGATAAGCAATATCAAACACTTCCCAAAGTTTCCCGACCGAAAGAGACTTCCCCATATTTGAGTTCTGCGAATTCCCTCATAATTTCTGTTATGTCCTTCAGACTATCAAAATTTCTGCAGTCCAATTGTTCCCCTTAGTTTGTAAGTAATTGAAATCTAGAATTCCCTAACTAAATATCAAAATCTATCTCTTAAATGTAAAACATAATGGTTAACGACAATGATTAAAAGTTTATCGAATCAATTCCTGTGATATCTTTGGCAGTTCGCAGAGATGTGTTCATCACGCGATTCGCGTTTATTAAATAATAGCAACTGTGCGACATCACACTTCTCATCATAATATTTCTCAAGTAGGCGTGTGAAAATGCAAGTGAGATGAATAGATAGCAAGGCAAATATTTGTTAACCGCAACGAAGTACTTGTGCCACTTTAAAATGGGTTATGTATCCGCAGTGAATGTTGTTAGAGCAGGGTATTTCGCAACAATATATACACACAACCTGTCTTGAGGTCGATTATGTCGATACCTTTCTCTACTTCTGCATCGAATTAGCATTTATTATAATAAGATATATGCATAGGGACTGTATAGATTTTAGATTCAGAACTATAAACCGTAACCTGTTATTTAGGTTTTACCGGTTGCCGGCGAGTTAATGTTGGGAAATCCCAACTGTCTGCAAGATGGACGACAGAAGTTTACCATTTCCCAATTATTTTATGTTATGACCTAGTAGTTTTTTCTTCACGCGGATTACATTCTACTTTTAGGTAGGCAAACCGGAAGAATGATTATTAATTTGTGATTAGTGAGCTCAAATTTAAAAGTCATAAAAAGTGTTTTATAGACAGGAACTTTTGATCATTAGCAGCGACAGTATTATCTCTTTGAGCAGGTTATTTCTGCAATACAGCCTCAAGAAGATGATTAACTCTGAGAATAATAATTATGTACCTGGTAGATTTCCATTGTTCATTAAAGATATGATATATATAAAAAACGTGGTTATATCTTTTATTTATATAAACACATTTTTTGGACTCTTCAATAAAAATTTTAATTAAATTTAATTAACTAGCCATATCTAATAAGTACATAAAATATTAACGATTAATAACCTGCAGACCAATATAGCCTTTATTGTCTACTTTTTAATAGGTATTATTCCATTAGTATTATGGATACCATCCAATTACCTTCAGACTCACAATAATCATCTTGGTTAAAGTACCTAATTTTTGGCGCCAGGAAATAATTATTATTAAAGTGCACTTCTGCAGGTAGACGATTATAGTCAATTTATGGACATTTATTAACTGTATGTTCTAAATGTATGCTTAGTTTCTCTAAGAACAGCGGCAGCAATTCATTTTTGTTAAATCGTTAAATAACGCATAAATTCTACCTTTCTTTCTCAATTGAAGGTAATTTATGCAATATGTTTATGTTTGTAGAAAGCAATATGCCAATTAATAGTTGAAGATTTTCTCATTCTCAATGGAATAATAAAGTTTTACGACCTCTGAAATAAAATGCAATTGAAGGTTAAGGGTAATAAAAACCAACTGATTCTTTGTTATAGACTATTTATAACTCGTTTGTTGACCACTATGTTTCTCATAAATTTTTTGCATATCATATGATTACAAAAACAATATACATACATTTAATTACATCAGTGATCGTTACTTTTCCATTTCTTGAATCGTACTGATAGTGAGGAGCGGACACAGGTCAGTAGATGGTACTTTTCATGAACTTATGCTGGGAGAATAAAACTTCTAATCTAATCACATTTTATGCAAGCCAACAACAAGATAAAATTATAATCCTTTCGTATAATAAATCTTAATCAACATGACTGCTTTTCAATTGTAGCTAACTATCTGATTTATTGAAAATGATACTGGAACGGGGTTTGTTAGATTTATTTGTGATGTCCTTAGAGAATTTTGCATTTATTTTCTAGAGATATTCCACCCGTTTGACTTGCGGACCTCATAGGTGTGGCTGGAATTTCCTTGTCTTAGTGAATCCGTACACGCTGGTCCGTTATGTGGGTCACACTGTTCTGGTCACGGTTCTGTAAATATTCAAAGGTCCAAACGAAACTAAACTAACACCCATTAATTAATTAATGAATTAAATTGGCCATATGGTTTGACAGTCATCTTCAAGATCTTTATATAACTCTTTAAAATACATATTAATTAACACCTAGATCAACACGTAATGTCATTTCAGTCAATGTGAGCCTCAAAGGATATGTTGCTTCCTTATTTCCTTTTAGTACTGGTATTGAAGAAGCTAGGTGAATTGTCATTTTCATGTTTCTTGGAAGGTACCGGTAAATGCCTTTCTATCAATTCAAATAACTACTAATCGTTCGGAAAGTGTGCCGAATTCTAATTGTGTCGACGTAAATGTAACAATAGTACTCGAGTCAAGGTTACAGTACCAGTATTTTGCTGACTGCTTACGTTATCAACCCGATAATAATGGTTAGATTAATGTGTTACCAAGTATCAATTCGATACCGACATAATGTCTATCGGCGGCATTTCTGCGATTCTCAGTTGCCCAATTTGGAGGGTACCCTAAGTTCACAAGTAATAGGACAAGGATAACGCCGACTGACCTTTTTTTACAGCCTCAAATTGCATTTAACACGCGCCTCTACAAAGGTTAATTGTCCCGCTTGCTTTAATTAGATGCGACCTCCAAAACACTGACGCGAATTTAGCTTGCGATCCAGGATACACCCGCGGAAATGTTTTCCGATTGCCTGTTAGAATCGATATTCAAACGGTTTCTCGGCGACCTTTGCACGAGCCGCAGTGATTTCTAATGTTTGCGGTTGTCGTTATCGACAAACTGAAATGACAAACGAATAGAATTACCTACTCGTTTCTTTGTATTCCATACGGTTGCAGTTATATTAAACAAGCCTACCAAGTAACTACAAATAAAAGATAAACCTTACGTAAGATATAATTTGTTTATTCTTATTAACTGCGTCCGTATCTCACATAAAAATGCTAATAAAAACGTATCACACACAACGGCTAACAAAGGAAACAGGAGCTTTGATAACTTCAAATCGCCGTCAGTTTTAGTGCCAGAAAGTATCGCGAAAAAATCGACCGTGAACGGTGAAGCTTGTTTATTCTGGTGACGTCAGAAGGATGCATTTATTAACTTGGAGGGAGAAGTTCCGTACATGCGCGCTGCCGGCACGCTAACAACGAGAGTTCTTCCAGTTGACCAAGCCCAATGTTAGCGCCGAAACGAAGGTTTTCTTGGCACCATTTAAGCCGTTCCAATGCTATATTGTGCGTGTGGCAAAATAGAAATCCGTTGCCACACAAGGTCCTTCCCATTAGAAGATTCGAATCGTATGGTTCACCTCCAAATAGTTCTAAAGGATTTTGGAACCGGATTTCTGCGTATGATGGTCTTTTCAATGATAAAGAATAAGTTTAATAAAACGAGTATAATATAACTTCGCTTCTATTACGTGTGCTGATAATTAATAATAGAGATAAGACTTTTATAGACTAATTGTCTGATAAAGTTTTTACTGTTGTACAAAAATTCAGATTATCTTGAATCTTATAAAGAGAAAACATATGCGGTTATAAGGAATTCTAAATTTTTTCATGCAAACTAATTCTTTCACAGCTAAACGTTTTAGTTCTTGGATAGTGACATTTGAAATTCAATCCGACTTGATGTGGAAAATGATATGAATCTGTGTACTACGATATTATATAAGTACCTCTATTCCTGTGGGATGGATTCTGATGATGACTTCGTCAGTCTCTGCGTGATGTTTACAAACTTCTCCACAAACTTCGCGACCATTGTAAGTAACGAAACACTTTTGTCCAGCAACGAGTTCGACCCCCAACACCGATTGGAAGCCTGGGCCTATGAGATCGGTTTCGAAAAATTCGGCAGTTGTGCGGCCCAGATTCCCTTGTCTGGAGTCAAAACGTACGGTGTACCTCGTGTTCGGTGTGAGGTTGATGCAATTATTGTTTTCCATGTAATTAGCTGGGGTTTTGACCGCCTGGATGACGCCGGAATAAAACTTCCCATCCTCGCCAGGAGCACAAACCCGAGTCCCGATGATTGAACGCTTCGCCAGGCGTTTACCCGTCGACATATTGAAATAAATAAAACCCGAAAAAACTAACTAAAAACAACTACAACAATAGTTCAGGCGAATTCTTCATAAAACAACGTCATCGGTGAAGTATAGCCTCCTAACCAACAATTTCTGCACAGATTCCTGCTGATGATTGAAGCACTCTATAGATACATCAAGAACCAATACTATTATTTTGTTGTCGTAGGAAATGCACATACTCATAATAGATAAGTAGCCTGTGATACGAAGGCTGCGCCACTGTAAACAGTTGAACAACGACTGACTGTGCCGGCCGGCTCTAGAGTAAGAACAGCTGATTCGTACAACCTGACCGGTATCCCCGTCCTTGTCTAGCGGCGCTCCGAGAGAGAGAAACTCGCAAGCTCGTGGATCGGATTCCTCCGGAGCCCAACATAGCGGCCCGGACACAGCTGATGATAACAACAAAACCATGTGACTCCCGGGCAGCCTCCAGATTGGGCGACCGGTCTGACCTACATAGAGCTATTGGCTAACTCGTGGGGAGAGAAAGGTCACGCACAGTTTGCTCCAGGCTTGGGCCTTATTTTCCGGATATAGACTTGATATTTCTACTATCCACCCTGCGTCCGGTTAAAACGGACCAATTTTTTAAACAGGAAAAACCAATATGGAACGTTTCGTGCAAAGTAAATTTCTATGTTTAATTCGTGTTTTGCGCTAATTTATTAATTAATTTATTTATTTAATTATGCCTCATGTTGCATAATCAGGAAAATCAAAGCAATTTAATCGAAAACCAATGAAATACGAAAATTTGAAAGGATTACCACGTTTGTAAACATATTTACAAAAAAAAGTCATAGACGTAGAAGCATATCTGACGACTGAAAACTAAAATGCAGAATTACTAGTTTGACTTTGTAGTTACTATACAGGGTGTACCAGAAATAAGTGCCAAAATGTTAACCATATATTTAACACAACAAAAGCAACAATTTTTGCATAATATTGATTATTCAAAACATGTATGTATGCATGTTTGTCAAGTATTTTTTACTCATTAAAATCAGGGAGTATCTAAACAACGTATGCAAATGTTTTATGCAATGATTCACTATATTAAGGTTTTTCACTAGACGGCGGGTTTTTAACAGTTGTGATTGTGCATCGTATTTATACATTTTAAGTAACATGTTTTAGTAGAAATTCGTCGAAACATAATATTTTCATGACGGTACTCCTTGCAACAGGTGGTTTGCAATGGAGAAATGGTCTAGTTACATTCAAATCTAACCAGCTCAATAGCCAGATTTGAATCGGTGTGACTTGCATTTATAGTGCGGTACAGATAGTTTATTCAATGCCAGTTAATGAGGTTGAGGAACAATGAAAATTAATATATGAAAAATTACATGCAACAAGTTACATGCAAAATAAAAAATACATTTTCTAAATTATATTTCAAAAACTAGTAGGAACGTTTGTGGAAAAATATCGATAGAGGCGCATTTTTTGTAACTTGTAACCTTGCATATTAAACAGTTTACGATATCTCTAATATACCATATTTATGATAGTCATTAAATGGTACTAGCTGAATATTTGTTGGTCGCTAAATTTTTTTTACGGGAATTCGGTTCAGAATTTTAACTGCCCTTTCCCTCTTACAAAATTATGTCTACCTACGCCACTGTCTACAACAGTGTAAATAATTTAGAATGTGAAGTGCACAACTTGTTGTTTTACATTTCGCCTTTGAATCTTTATTTATAATCCTGTAAGCGATAGCAGTTGGGGACACCCCGTATAGGGACCAATGGAGCTGCATTGATGGATTGAATGCTGAGGCATCAGTTTATTTAAAATTATATAGTTTACATTTACGATGTAGAAGTTAGTGTTAGTCAGGCAGTCAGATAGTTCGTTCTCGAGTCTCAAGTGCTCTACTTGTCTATGCATTATTATTTTCTCACAATATACTGTTTTACGTTTCACCTGGGTAGTTTTTATTTTCTTATTTGAAAGAGTTTACAATCCTATTAACAAAATACTCATAAATAATACAGTAATTTTGATTACACAGTTGTTGGATAAACACAAATCAATTTATTAATTAAGATTTCCTAAATTTATTTATTTTCTTTAGTAATGTGGATGTTAAAAAATGATAAATTGTATACCTACTAAATATATTATCAACTAGCAAATTCATATACGAAACCGGCAAGTTAAAAAATGTATGTAAATGATATTACTACTCAGATTTTTACGATTGTTATTTGAGTGTTGCGAATATTATAAATCCTAATTGCATTCTAAAAATAACACTAAAAGTGGCCACTTTGCCAGGTTCGCTCCACGTGTGAGCTATAATATTTTTAACAGGTTAAAAAACACGTTCCAGCGGCTGATATGTGAACTATTTAGATATGGCCAGCTTAAATAATTAGGTTATTGGTAATAAATATCAATTCTATTAATTAAGAGAATGCTAGGCGATATTTTTATGTATCTTGTTAATTTACATAATCTCAACCAGTCAAATACGTTACGTACTTAGCAGTTTTATAGTTCGTCCATTTTTATTTCGAGTTGATGCTAAATTTTATACATCTATTTAAAATATGGAAATCAATCAGATAAAAAATGCAGCAGAAGCTGAGTGTTTTCGATATTTCTTTATGTATATTTTAGAGATATGTTTAAAAAAATTAGTAGTCAATGTAGATATACGTTATTTACAACTGCACTTTTAATTTTGAAGCTCAATTGATGATACAATGAAGCTACTACATACAATAACAGCAAAATTAAATTATTATAATTATTAAATTCTATTCAATTATGTGAGGTAGTCTCCCAGATCGCCAGATCTAACGCCCTTAGACTTTTTTCAGTGGGGACACTTAAAGTAGAAAATTTATGCAACACAACCGAATTCACTTGAGGAGCTCTGTCGGCGAGTTGTTGAAGAATGTCTTCAGATAACGCCCGAAATGTTTCGAAATGTTCGTTCGGAAGTGGACCAAAGATTTTATTAATATATGGAAACAAAGCAAAATTTAAAAACTCGTATGTCGTTTGAGCAGAATTGAAAAAACTTTAAAATGAAGTGTCACTCAACATAGAGTGCCATTTAAAGTTTAAGGGTATTTTACACCCCTACCTAAGAGGTAGCATCCACGACACCAAAACTTACGCCATCACGTATCCCCTTTGGAAAGAAAATCGACGTGTCTCAGGTTTTCTTTTATTCCGATATTTTCCAGATGAGAAGTTTTAATTGGCACACCCAGTATAATCAATGTAATTACATACTAATAGAACTGAAGTTGAAGAAGAATATTAATTAAACATATTATAAAGTTTGTTGTAACATATAATTTTGTAGTAACAAGTATATAATTTAATAAAATTAAAATTAAATAAATAAAATTTGTTTATAGACCAGGGCGCATCTGTCGAAATATCCCACTTCTTGGATATAAGAGGGGGCAAGCTATTTTTTTCTGGATTACCTTCGGTACAACTCGCATAATAAAAGTGTAGATCCCTAGATCTGGGCGAGGTCCGGAACATTTCCAAAATTGCAAAAATACCTATTTTATCTGTTTTAGTTTTAGTTTTTTACTTATATCTGGGAACCTATGCATTTTATAAGAATAATGAATATTGAAGAGGTTATATAGGTAATATTGAAGAATATTTAAAAAGTTGCAAAATAGCAATAATTGATGAAAAAAAAGCAAAATAATCAAGTTTTTTGGATAATCTTTTAAAAATATTTTAATAGCTCCGAGGGCATTCTAATTTTGGTAAAAAAAACTTTAGAGTATAATAAAACAACACTTCAAATTTCATTAAAATCGGTTCTATAGTTTTCACAAAATAATTTTTTGAAAAAAATTTTGAAAAAAAATTTCGAATTTTCAAAATGTTGCACAGCCTCAAATAAAGAATATAGATACTTAATTAGGACGGTAAATTTTTAAAGATAACACTTTTTTTATTTTTAAACAATTAGATTACATTTATCAATTTGCAATTTAGTTTTTTTCAAAAATTATAATTTTAAAGTACTCGGAAAAACGCTTCTTTAATAAAAAAAAAGTTAAACTCCGTTTATTGGTTCTCGAGAGATATGCGGTCAAAGTTTATTGGCATTTACCGTTAATTTATAAACAATTTAGCAATAATATTTGATCCAGTGGCTTCGTTTTCCAGAGTTCTAAGCTGGAAAAAATTTTCATATCCATAAGTTATCGCCAACATAGATAAGTCAGCGGAAAGCTGTCGTGCGCACGCGCGAAATGTGACTCAAAACATGAAAAGTGGGGGAGGGGGCTTTTGTTCCTAGACTGAATTCGGAAGTTCAAAATGCGAAGGTACGAAAAAAATTGCATTATCTCGGCTTCTAATGGATGAATCTTTTTTTTTAATCCGATGTCTCGCGAGCGAATTCGAATATCGTAACTGTCTAATTTGCACATATTTTGTTATAAACAAAGTTTATTATTTATGCATTAAATACACTGTATATTTTACCCTATGCTATTGCATTTTTTCAATGAATAAATTTGTTTACGTATATATTTCAACACTCTGAATATGAATGTATTTAGTTATAATTATTACAATTATTTAAATAATTTTTGTTTAAACAAAAAAAAATTATTTGGATATTAATTTTTTTGTTAAATACAGATAAAATTAAGAAAAAATAGTACCTTAAAATTATAATTTAAAAAAAAACTAAATTGCAAATTGGTAAATGTAATCTAATTGTTTAAAAATTACAAAAAAAAGTGTTAACTTTAAAAATTTACTGTGGCCGTCCTAATCAACCGATTTCAATTTTCCAAAAAACATTTGAAAGGCTCAGCAGTCTTTTCAATGTAAAAAAATTTTCAAGCGTCTAGATGATTTACTTGAGGCTGTGCAACATTCTGAAAATGCGAAAATTTCTTTTCAAAATTTTTTTCAAAAAATTATTTTGCGCAAACTATTGAACCGATTTTAATGAAATTTGATCTGTTGTTTTATCATACTCTAAAGTTTTTTTACCAAAATTAGAATGCCTTCGGAATATTAAAATATTATTCAAAAAACTTATTATTATTTTGCCTTGTTTTCATCAATTATTGCTATTTTGCAACATCGGTAATAAATTTAAACATTTTTAACTTCCAGTATATTGTGCAAAATTCAATTCTAAAACTTTTTTCCTCTTCAATATTCTTTCAAAATGCATAGGTTCCAAGATATAAGTAAAAAACTCAGATAAAATAGGTATTTTTTTTT